AGATTCAAAGAAAAAAAAGCAGCCCTAGACCAAACCTACCCCTTACCATGCCCTGCACACAAATTCTATCTCAAACCATTCAACAATAACTTGGATGATACATGATTGAAGCCAAATCACTGTGAGGTTAAGTGGTATATGCGCATTTTATTAAAAAAAAAAAGCAAAGTCAGTCATTAAAACTCTCAAACAACTAAAAATGTACCAAGTATTAAACACTAAATTCACAGATTACACAGTAATTTCTTTAGTTTGTCTTTCCATTTTCATGTAACATTTTCTTGAAAATTCCCTTGCTAAAAAGCGAGCGGTTAAAAAGCTCCTCAAAGAGTCTCCTGAGCCTCTAAAGGCATCTTATCACCATCACTTCATCCAGCTTTTTCTCTCAAACATTAACTGCACATGAAGAATCAAAAACATTACTTTGGCCGCTTAAGTAATTTAAAACAATTTAAGCTATACAGCTTACACCTTTGCCCGATACATTTGGACTACACTGAAATGTTCTATACGCATTCCTAAAATGTACGTATTTAAAATCAAATGACCTGCACGAATGCAATACCGTCAGACTTTCAGCATAGACACAGCTTCCTGCAATGGCATAAATGGCATAAATACATTGCAACAGCTACTTAATGACCTAAAAATGTAAGTGCACTATGATATCCACATTTTGATTAAAAATTGGCTTGGACATGCAAAGTGTAACATACTAATGCAGATTTACTGCTATATATTTTTAAATTGAGCCATGCTTAATCATCGGTTTCAGGAAAATTATGGAATTGAATTGCAAAGTATTTATTTTTGTAAAATTTGAGACAAAATTCAAGGAGATAATTATTTTCAACATCAAGAAAATTTCAATACATGCTCAGATAATGAAGCAGCTGGAGTTGAGAACCTGAGAGTTCTTGGCAATAGTTTTGTTAATCCACTATACTCATTTGTTTATTTCAAGAAAGTAAGAGCAAAATACCATGTGATTTCATAAATACTATCCCACCTCCAGTAATGGATACCAAATTCAGCATCTGTTATTCTTCCAATCTCATGACTTTTCTAGAATACTTTGTACTACTGGCACCATAGTATCTTTACAGGATATAAAAGCTGTGAGCTGGTTCTACAGTGGTTACTTAGATCTTCCTATAACGTGTTACTTGGATCTTCCTATAACAATCTCTCATCAGGCCAAAACCCATGCCAATGTAATTCATCAAAAAGACAGAATGGATTCTCACTAGTCTCAAACCCACATACCTAACTACTGTCACACCATTCTCTCTGCTCCTCCTGCACCTATTACCACAAGAAATCCTCTTTTCAGTGCATATACCGAAAGCTCAGCATCAGCAAATAAACCTGGTTTTGTTGAAAATAATTCAAACATGTTTTCAAATACATACTTCCAATAATGCCCAGCATACTGCAAGAATATAATCTTTCCCAAATCCCAATAGTGACAGTGTCCCAAACTGTTCAGATTAAGAAAACTACTTTTTGAAGTTAGGAACCCAAAGACTTCTTTCAAAGAATCGTATTATCCTGTTTACAAAAATGCTCTTTATCCTATAGAAGATTCCTGCCTTGAATTGACATCTACCATTCTGTCCTCATTCCTCTCTATGCAAGCTCGTTCCAGCCGGAAAGCCTACCAACTACTTAGACTAAACACACATCCAAAGAGATAACTGTAATCTAGACTAGCCTGAGGGTCCTTCCCTTAGAGGAGAAAGCCACCAACCAACACGAGTAAAAACTTATTTACCAGTTTGTATTGTATTGGGAATGTCCAACATTATGAAAATAATTTGCTCAATGTGTACTTTATTTTCATATACAACCAGCGGGGTTTCTAGGCTGTAACATTCAGATTATCATTCTCGTTATCTAAAAATTAACAGAAAAAATTCACGTGTGGACCACTCTCCCACCATGACTTTAGATTAACACTCACGTAGTCACCTGCAATATTCACAACTGTTTCCTAAGATACCTTCCTGATGATAGAAAACCACCTGCACTAGAGGCAAGTCGTAATCCAGTACGATAATTTGGCATTTGAGAACAAGTGACAGAAGGCCAACACGACAAGAGCTCAAAGGTATATACACGTAAAAAGACATTCTCCTACGAAAGAAGTCTCCCTCCCAAATAACAAGTTGACAACCAAGACCAAAAGCATTTCCATACAGATTTTCACTTTTCAACTGCTTTATTTTAAGGCTTCACAGTACTCAAAGACATAGAAGATCATCCACGCTCATGGTTTTGCTTTCACTAAGAGCTGTTGGCTAACGCTAACAAGAGTAAGGAGATTATTGCCCGCTCTAGCTCATCAGTTAATAACTACTGCATTTAATGTAGAACCAGAGGTCTAAGCAGCTAATTAAAATGGAAATGGACACTTTCATATACTTAAAGTGTGAGTCTTGCAAAAGAGCTTTGGAAGATCAGCAATAAAATACACTACTATTTAGATTTAAACCAATCAGCTAAAGTACGCTTGCAAGCACAGACAACACCTTGGGGCTTTTAGACAACCCTTTTTGAAGGCAGCAAAGCTTTACAGTCCCAACTTGGGGAAAGTCCCCAGACAGCATTAAAACTTTTGGACAACTTTATCAGACTGGCTTTTGCATCTCCGACTCAAAACTATGTTTGCTTTATTACAGCCACAAAGAACAGATCCTGATTTTTAAACACCCATGCATGGGTCCACTTGTTGGGGCACACACGCACTCTTATCCCACTCCATCTTATCAAATTTGGTTTACCTAGTAAAAGGGACACGAGTGGGCTACTCCACACACGTAAAATTGACAAACACTCCACTGAAACAGCAGATGATTATGTAATCTAGAGCCAAATTCCCCCCAAAACTTATTTATCAAGATTGCAAGTAAGTCCACAGAAGTGGCCAGGAACATCCCCCCCCTCCCCACCTCAAACCCATGTGCACCCCATCAGCAAAAAGACAATTTAAAAAAAAAAAATACTAGACACAGCTCTTGCCACACTACCAGTTTAGCTTCCTTTTCTAAACAATGTTTTCCCTCTCAAATTTATATTTCACAGAATTTGAGTATAATGTCTTCTCTAGGTTAGATTTAGGTGTCTCAAAAAAGTTTAAGGACAAAACTATTATCTATCCTAGCGATCATCAGTTGGGCGCACACACCACTGTTACAAAAGATCACCTTATGGGAAAATCTGAAAAACCTTCTGCATTAATTCTGGAAGAGCACTTCTCACACACAGCATAGTGAAGAACAAAGGCAGAATAAACAACGGGTTTATGTGCAGAAGTGTAAATGAAGATTTCTAAAGTCAAACACCACAAAAGGAGACTCAAGCTCCCAAATAATACCCATCTGAAACTGCCAGTCATCTTGTTTATGATCTCATTTGAGTGCACTTAAAGCAAAGCCATCAGTAATTAAGTCTGTTGGACTGCTTAAAAAAAAAAAATATTAACCCCCCCGCTCGCAATTAGTGTTTGCTCCACTGCTGTGCCAGGATGTGTCAGTCTGCAAGAAATGCAGTCTTGCTTCTGCTGCCCGCGACGCAGCTGACTGCACTCTGCATACTGATTTGAGAGATCACTTAAAGCCTGGTGGACTGACAAAGTAACGTTGCAGGCTGAGGGCTGGTATCAGCTCAGAAGACACATTGAACCGTGAACTTCTCCAGCATTTCCAGCATGGACCTCAGGCGTTCCTCCTATCTGTGCCAGAAGACCTATAAACAGCTTTATTATCAAACCTCTGTTACAGCAAGTAGTCGTCTTCCAACTTCTGTACGAATGGAAGAAAAAAAATTTCTCATTCACGTGGTATTTTCTGATCAGCACTCACACGAGCTTTGCTGTGTGCAAAGCCAGACCTTTAAAATACAGTGTATGGAAACCTGTGTTTTACTCCACTATTACCTCAGCAAAAGTTTCTCCCCCCTTGATAACCTGCACATTTTCTTGCCCATTTTTTGAGATTTCAGTAATGGGATTAGTTTGTAATAATCTGTCCTTTATGAAATTACAGGAGGTTTAAGTCACCATATTAAGGTTACATGAAAGTGATAATTTAACAGCGACCTCTAGCACGCAGATTTCTGCGGCCATTCAGTGCCTGAGGCGTGTTGCCCCACTCTGACAAAGAGGGAGATTCACATCAATAATTCTGTGAATGTTGCCACACATATGGTATAAACATGCCATATATAGCGTAAGTCGCTGCTGTTAATCAGATGACATTCACCGCGGCTGAAGAGACAAAGGTTTTCAGTTATTAGGTTGTAACTGGAGTTGTGGCTCTCTGCCCTGTGCCACCATTGGAACTGCTGCTCGAAAAGCCTCAATAACAGCGTCACTGAATGAAGCGTTTGCTTGCCCAGCCGAATCCAAATAGCTTCACATTTACAGGGATCTGGGTAAGCAACGACCGGGAAAGCCCAGAACTACTTGAAGCATTTCCATCAGATCTTAAAAGGAATAAGGGTGTCTCGGAATACAAATACAGAGGAAAAGACCGTTCTCACCAGGGGGGGGGAAAAAAAAAAAAAAAAATAAAAAATTACCAGCCTTGATTTGTCAAGGACAAGGGCACATCCTGTGCCAGCAGGCTCAGCTCTGCTGCCCTGCAGCCATTCTGCTCCATTTACTGGGCTGCATTGGTTTATGTAAGCATGTACTAAATACAGAGAGGAAGCTTTCTACAGTTTGAACCTGAAAGACATTTTTGTAGTATTATGCAAACAGGGGTAAAATATGCAGATTTAAGGGCAAAAGCCGGTAGCTGTAGAAAAGGAAAAGAAAGACAGCTCATTTAAGAGCACACCAAAACATCTGTACCTAACAGAGGTAACGTATCGCTCTTGGAAGAAAAGCAAATGTCCTAAGTCATCAGCATAACAGACAAACTTTTTCTTCTGAGCTGTAATTTGTGCTATAACTAGAGTCAAAAATACCACCAAATATCAGCGATAGCAACGCTTACCTTACGCCTATAAGTAGTGCTATCAGCATTGAACAAATAGGATCTGCTATCATTAGGCCATAGTTCTGCATCAGTATAGCAGATATGATTACACCAATACTTCCAAGCGTGTCTGCCACGATGTGTAGGAATACACCTGTAAGAGATTAATTGGTGTCATTACAGCTTGGTATTCTTAAAGCTAATGGGGTATTTCAAAGACAGTTTACAGAGAAGAGTTGCAAGAACTAGGAAACATGATTTATGCTTGTTACATTTGTGGTCCATTTTTGGTCAAACACACAAAAAGTGACCACAGGATTTCAGCGTATTTGTAAAATACAGAGCATTTGAAGAACTTACATTATTTTCTGCACTTAGCAGTACGGGGTATTTCATGGCATGGCTATCAACGTAGGCAGTGATTAACAGATGTAGCTACATTTTTTTCATTCAATACCCACCCAAATTACAGTAAAGAGACTCATGTTCCCCACTGCCCACAGACAACGGTAAGTACTGTGTAAGATGGAAGGACTGTTAACAGAAACAGCTCTGTAAAGCTTTGAAAGATGCTAACGTTTCATTGACAACATCTTGGAGAAGTTATTTGGCAAAGAAACCCAAAACAAATTATTCTGAGAATTAAACAATACTGCAGACATGAACAACTCCACTCTTATTTTGAAGAATAACACACTACCTTAGAAGACAAAGGAATAAGCACTTTGCAGCGAGCTAAAATTTAGCCTGTGGAGCTCTCTGCTGGCAACGATGGGAACAGGCATTCAGGAACAGCTTTCTGAATACAATTCTCCAGACTCTGATAATCCCTCCTCACAAAAACAACGCACAACTATAAATCAGCTTTTCAGTCATTTTTTCCAACTCTACATTTGTACTGGGTCCGGCTGGGATGGAGTTTGGTTTTCTCCCCAGCAGCCCGCACGATGCCGTGGTTCAGATTTGTGGCTGAAAGCACGCTGATAACGCATCGACGTTTTAGCTGTTGCCAAACAGCGCTTGCACAGCATCAAGCCCTTCTGTTCCTCACGCTGCCCCACTCCAAGTGGCTGGGGTAGGAGAGATGCTGGGAGGGGACACGGCCAGGAAGGCTGACCCCAGCTGACCAGAGGGATATTCCGTACCACGCACCATCAAGCCCAGCAATCAAACTGGGGAGCTGTCCTTCCAAAATAGCTGTTGCTCAGAGACTTCCTGGGCATCAAGCTGCTGGTGGGAGGTGGTGAGCAACTGCCTTTGCACCACTTGGGGTTTTTCTTTTTCTTTTTTTCTTTTGTTTTTTTCTTTTTTTTTTTTCCGCCCTTCACTTACTAAACTGTCTTTACCTCAATCAAAGAGTAGTTCTTGCTTTTTTCCCTTCCCTGTCCCACTGCAGGAGTGGGCAAGCAGCTGCTGGGTGCTTAGTTGCTGGCCAGAGCCAACCCACCACAGTATTCAAAAAAATAAAATAGAATTATATGATATAAAATTGAGTCTTTTTAACATGCTTCAGTTAAAATGTGCCTTTCATGAAAAGACTGACTTTCAGGTATCTTCTATTGAAGTACTGAGTATAGGGAAAAGTAACATGATATACTATAAATTCTGGATGAGGTTGAAAATGTTCCTTTTTCAAGGACTACAAACAAGGCAGAAATTAATCCAATAAGAAAACAGTATACAGATTTGGGTATGCCAACTAATGACTACCTCTTCCATGAAATAATTTTCTCCCTCTAACTTTTGAATGCTTCAAAAAAAAATTAATCAAAGCTCAAAGCTGACATCTAGATTATCAGTAATTTATTTACACTAATGCTAGGAGATCACAGACTCCAATACTGCTTAAAGGAATGTAGAGTGAATTACCATCTTGTCTAATGATGAAAATGCAAGTTTTACACTCAGGTGTAAAACAATTACATCAATCTGCATTTTTGAAATATCTTAATACTACTGTTTTTCAGTTTCCAATGCATGCATACATTGCAAATAGGCTCCTTAGGCTTCTGCTTTTAAGCACTCCTTCCTAGA